GGCCCCCCCCCCCCCCTCCTTAACTTTGTGTGTACAAAGAACACCTTGATCAATGTATAATTTTTTTAAAATCAATTTTTAAAACTAGATAAGCTTTCATAAATATCAGCCCTATTGAATTACTTGATTTTGTAATTTAGGAGAAGCATACTGGTTGAGAACCACTCGGCTAAACACGGAAAAATACTACGTAATATGCAGCTTCGCAATTTGTATTCTTTGCTTTAATACTGTTATGTTTTGTCGGAAATAGAATGGTACCTCTTAAAATGAACTTGCGTATAAGAGAACGTAACGCAACCACAAGTATGCTGCTATCTATTGAAAAAAATCATGCAATATCTTCACTTGCGTGTTCATCAGCTGCCCCCTCCTGCCATCTACACAAAGCAAAGGTTGACCGCATTACTTGCCGAGTCTTATTAGCTCATTTTGCCTAATTAGTACCAACTAACAACAACGTCTTCAGCAGAAGTCACATCTGAAATATACGTTCACAAGGATTAAATAAATGGGGGAGAGGGTTAAGACGCATCTCAAACCAAAACCAGTTTTGTGACATAGAGCCTTTTAGTACAATCTTATTCCAAACAACACATTACCTGTTACAGTTTTTTCTCAGTTAACCATGAAGAAGTCCCTTGGAAATGTCTGTAATTTTCACCATTTACCATATCAACATGGTCGTCTGCCAACGACAATCAGGACTGAAGACATACGGTTATTAGCATAACACCCAATGATTCAACACCAACCATCTTCCAACATTTTATCCTAAATTACTGCTTCAAAGCGGTCTGAAGCACAGTTTCAGGTTCAACAACAAACGCATGAAGATATTCCCAATGCTACTTAACGTTGCAAACAACCACCAGAATTATGATAAGTGAGGTAGATCCATGAGAGATTGGAGTTTGGGTTGTGGTCTTCTGTGGCTGCACCAGTGCTGGGTGTTACCAATTTTTTGGAGAAATGCCATCCTCTTCAGTACAGGATTGAGTGGAGCCGGCTTATTTAAGATAGGCAGGACAAGGGAAACCCAGCGGTCATTCGGGGCCGACGATGGGAGATGTGACAGATCCGATAGTCTGCACTGATTTCAAATGTTCTTGGTGCCTGATCGATCGTCTCATCCCAGCGCTAGCCAATTCTACCATGCAAATAAGAGAAGATTGTTCCTCTGAACCGTTGGTAAATAACTACAGGATCACATGGCATTATAACCTGGGAGTCCACAGATTAACCACGGCAATGTCTCCCAGAGATTCTGTTTACTTCGAAATATTTTAAACAGTATTTTAGTTTATCTCATGCATGTCCTTAGAATCTCATTCTTCTTCACTTATCATTGTAATATTCTGTGTCGGAGAGCATTTCTACACGGTCCAATTTTTCTCCCTGATCCGTTCCTCTCTCCCATGCCCAAACATTCTCCTCAGCTGCCAGTTCTTGAATACCATCAACCGTTCCAGATCAAGATCAACCCCATACAAACCCACGGGTACAACAAAATGAACAAACACAGACTAATAAATTTTTTTATTGGAAGTGGTAGTACATGCAACAGTCATTTCTAGGGAGAAAACAATTACAGCCTTTAGAATGTGGACTGTCTGCACAAGAAGCTGAGTGTACCAACACAAATAAATAGTATGTACAGAAGCCACGACATCATCAATATAAAAATGAGGGACGTACATTGTGTGTCCTGCACAGGACAAAGGCACAGTTGGGCACTTTGGATTTTGGCCTCCCCTGAACTACAAAGCATATAATTAATGCTTTTAAACATAAAATGCAAGAATGGAAGATCGCTAAAACTAAAATATTACCGTCGTCATTAGTAAATGAATAATTAAGATTTACCACAACTAATGTAATTAGAAGCATTTATCTTGATTGACAAATTTTCTTATTTGTGGCTAGTTTCCACCCAACAAATGGAATGATCTGTACGGGAGAATAAAACAGGAACTAGAGGTGATGTGGAAGAGAAGAGAACAACGGCAGGCGGACCGTTCACCACAGGCCGGAGGAGTAGCCTCCAGGTGGCACACGGTTACGGCGGATGTCACCGCTACCCTTCCCGTTGGTGGTTGTGGTTGCCGGTGTCGATGGAGAATCCTTTTCGTCATTTCCTGCAGTATAGCCATCTCCAGTCACAGGGTTACCATCTGCATAAACAGAAATATTTTTCCTTGAAACAAGAACTCCACACATTCTTTGTGATTCTATCAGCGTACAACCTTTTCAGTGATAGAAATAAATGGACTTGATAGAATTTTCTTGAGCAATCGGGCACATCGTCCTGGAGCGAGAAACGATGTGACTGCCAGGAAAGAGAGAGAGAGAAACATGCAGAAATCAAATCCTGACATTGCTTCAGCCTGATACATGAGAGGGAGGGCAACACTCTACTACCCAAATCACTAAAACACTTCCATACATGCATGCACACATACCACATACTGTCAATCAAACCAGTATTGCAATTGGAATAATTCCCAAATGTCTACCAAGAGGCGGTGTGCAGCAGGAAGCATCACAACTTTACTTTATTTTAACACGAAAAATCCCTCTAGTTTGTGAATACATTACACGAGGTCGTATATCAACACTGACACTGATGAATCAAATGCGACAGACACCCAAATAATCTGGGATCCTGAGTAAGTATTCCGACTCCCTACCGATGCTGACTGTCTGTTTCCCTCAGATGAAAGGAAGATTTACCCACCGCTTTCCACTTTGCAAATGATAAAGACAATATAATTCTTGAAATAACAACGGCACTGGTAAATGGGTTCTAATTCGGAGCACTTGGAATCACAATACGACAGCAAAAAGCAAACACAACAAAAACAAGTGTAAACATAACAATTCTGACCAATGTTCATCACAAAGTATTACTTATGACTCCTTTGGTTTGATACTACCTACTGTATGACAGGAAGAATAAGACCCTGATGAAGGTACTGTGTATGCAGAAGCATGCAGGTTAACATGACAAAACATAAAACAAGTTGGCAGCTACAAGATGTGATTCCTCTTCCATCATCGACAATCCACTATCAGGGTAAAAGATTTCACTTACATTTACAAAATTAAATTTTGGTTGATGTGTGACTCACGCCCACAACATTTTTGACACATCGAGTACATCTAAAAGAGTTTCTGCCTTTGTTTCAGCCTTGAAGTATGTACTTTATTGACAACCACAGCTGCTTTGCTGTAATGCTTAGAAGATGTTGAAATGTTAGTGACCACCCACAAGGTATGCACAGCCACTAACATAACACATACTCCACATGTCTGTATTTACTTTCGCTCATTTCAGAATAGAAAACGCTGCTCTGCACACTGACATACCTGGTCTGGGTATTTTACGGTCTTATATGCACGTCTGCCCAAACATACCACAACTCTCAGAAATACCTGCCCCAGCATCACTTCATTCAACATGAATTACACTGTAAGTGACCCAGGACTGAACCTGGGTCTTAGCAGCGAGAAGAAAAATTTAAAAAGTACAAGACACATGAGCATGCTCTTCGCTCTCACGCATTTCTAGAGAAAAGTTTGTCTCGTGTCATCAGTCTGCTCGGCCAACCATCTCTCTTAAATGTAGAAGAAAGAATTTAATTTTTTCTTTGGACGAAAATTCACAAAATTAATAAAATTCTGTCCCACACATAAAATATAAGCAATTTAATGAGACTGTTATATTTTTCGTTATTATCAAGCCTGTTTTGTTCATGAACAGTTTCGTATAACAAATGGTACCTTAAGTTCCGCAGCAGAGTTCTGTCTATATATACTGAAACAAAGAATGAATTACTAACCAGAAGGAGATCTCACAATTTGAGCACTAATGGGTTTACACGTTACCTCGCTTCCTCACACTTCTTCTGACGATGCAGTCACTCGAAGGGACACCATCGCCAGTGACCGGATTGCGCCTAACTGGAACCAACAAGCCAAGCCACACCGTGCGACACCAAACACCACATGCACCACATCTAAAGCAATATTGCAGTGCTGCCACAGTGATCAGACCCCACACAATGAAAATGGACAGAATAAGTCTACACAGCATTCAGAAATTCAGGATTCAACAGCTTTGTTGAAGAAACATTCTTCAAGAACTATTCTTCTACTTGGAAAATATTATAATCCTTTTTTTGAAAACAAGAAACATTAAAGCATAGAGAACTATTACATTATGCACTGGGGATGCTCAGTCAGTATAGTGACTGACTGCAGACAGGATGACCAGGTTAAAATTTTCCTGAGAAACCTTTTGAACAGTTTTTCCTTAAAATTTAAGACAGAAAGACATTTGTGGCCTCTGCCATTCAGTGGGGCACAGCACAAACTGCGGCCTGATGTAAGGTTGTCATGGGACCACTCAGATCCTTAATAAGATCACACGGCAGAGACAGGACAATGGCCAGATTCCTACTCCCTGGTCTCCATTCTCAAGCCAAACCTGGAAAAGTCAGTCACATCACATCGTTCAGCGAGTTGTCTCTTCCTCCAGGCCGAACCTGCGTCTACGGCAATGTGACCTCCAGCACAGCGAGAGAAAGCGAGCCACGACCCACTCACCCCAAAGAGACACGAAAGGAAATGGCTTCTGTGCAGGTTAGTAATTAGGTTATTTTCACATCCTAGCCCCAAGAAAACATGCCATGTCTCAAATATGGACACCAATCAAGTGATAATGTTTTTGAAAATAATCACCATTTATTTTGAGAATCAAACAAACCCCATTATGACAGACGGGCAGTTAGTGAGAGAGTCATATTCAGATCATTTGGTGTGCCTGAACCCTGAAGATGAAGGTAATGCATTCCATGGCGCTTACTCAACCTTACAAGTCCAGATAGCTTCACTACCCAGAAGACCAACACTGATATCGTCAGTGCTGTGAGAAGCTCAAACATCATACAGCGTAATGCAACCACAAAAATTCCTCTCTCTATACGAATGGGACATCCTTGTTAATGTGACGTTGAAAATCCGACAACCCACATGACAAGGAAGAAAGACACTTTGTTGAAACATGCACAACATATCATGCAGAAATACAAGTCAGTACTCACTCAACACACCCAGCGACTACGCCACTCAACTATATTTGAACAGAAACAAGATATGATATATTCCACCGTCCGTCTCGAGCTACACTCGGTGCCTTGCGCGACATTCACAGGCGCTCTGACCATAAGCAACAATGCAAGGGACAATTTGACAATAACTGCACACACGTGTAATCAAGAGCACGAGAGGCTCCGTCCATTCATCTATCATGTCCCACGTTCCCAAATTTTGTAAGTAAGAGGATAAAGTTTTGGTCACAGAAACATAAATAGCAGATGGGCAACAGACAGATTATATCACAAACCACTGGGAGGTGTGGTTACACTTCAGGTGCAAAGGCCTCCGCACGGAGACCAGGACTGCAAGCTACTCGATGCCAACGGAAGCGAGCGGAAAACAGGGCACGGCAGTTTCCTACTTTACGAGATTTTGAGGGACGGACGTTTCGCAAGTCTTTCGATCAGAGCGCAAAGTCTCGCTGAAGGCACTGCGGTCTATTGGTGTACGGCGCACCAATAATTAAATACTGCAACTAGTGCAAATTTCATGTGGCACAAATTCCAAGCATCCGCGAATCTCCTGAGGATAGAAACTGTACATAAGTCAAAGTACAAATTAAAATGAGCACCACAAGTAACTTTTGACTGTCAAAATAACATAAATCAGATAAATTATGTTCTGTGTTTCAAGTCCACCCACAATTTTATGCCGTGAGTCAAACCTTACCCTATTACAAAGATCATGAGAAACTCTTGCCTGTTGACATGTCAGGCAGTTATACCAACAGTACCATTTGTAAAGTGCTGTTCCGTGCTTCCGTTCAGTCTACAGCCAAACATCTGAGAGTCCAGCCGCTCAACATCAAACCTCTGAATTAGTCTTAACTGTTAAGATTCTAACTTTCGTTTCAAAATTGTTTAATTGCATTAGGAGATAAGTGTCTGTTTTCATCAGTACAGTTAAATTTTGCTCGTGAAGTTCCTAACAGCCGAGTGCAGACGGTGGAATGACTCTCACCTCTCGGAGCAGACTCCTGTGGATCAGAAGCAGCTCCCACCAATCCAAAGGGAATGTTACTTTTCATTCGATTCTTGGGCGTGCATTGGGGCCGGCTTTCTACGGGGCCGAACAGGCGGCTGTGCGAATCATTACCGGGCTTGCTGCGCGGTGTGCCGGTTGGCTCACAAACGCCATTGGCAGCAAACACCGACGACTGCAAGTACTGCTTGCTCCTCACTCTTCGTGGTGACTGCTCTACTGCCTCGACATTCCCAAAGATGTCGCTGCTGCCACCGCCCGGGGGCTTCAATACCCTGCAACATGCAACACACCAAAGATTAACTTCAGAGGACGTACTTCCTCCAGCCGTGGAGCAATCTGTCTGACATCAAAACAGTCTTATTAAAATGCAATGTAAACTAAATGAGCAGTAGAAGTCATAATTGAATTAAACAGTACAGGTGAATGTCTCAATGGTGGTCTTCTGGGGTGCAATGCCATATTAACATGTTCTCTTTCAACACTGGCAAAACCCAGAGGACCAACATCGATGTTAGCAATTGGGATGTGTGATCGATACTTGCCTGTGATGGCAGGGCGAGCCCTTAAACTCGGCCCCGAAGAGGTCGTGACAGTCGCCACCAGGCGGTTGCTTCACTATCCTGCAAACCAGCCGGCCAGCACTTCAGTCCTCTCACATAACCCCAGAATCAGCATGCCCCATTTCAACACGCACTTCAGGCAATTTTGCATTCCCCCAAAATAAAGTTGGAGCAGTGGCCAGCCACTGATCTGCTTAAGAACTCCCAATCTTATGGAACCCAAGGTTGCATTACCAGTGAACTGTATCCTGAGAGTTAAATCGAATTCTCGTGACCATCTTAATATTATCCTCCCATCTACACTTAGGCCATCCAAGACATATTTTCCCTTCAACTGTTCAGCCAAATTCTGCAAGTACTTCTCCGTTTATTAACCACTAAATGTCCACTGTGATTTCTCAAGTTCCCTCAGGGGCAAGTATGACGATACTTCAGAGGAGCTTACTGCCTCCATCACCAGGACGATAAGACCACTCTGATGATGGGGGCAGTAAGATCCTTTTAAACGTCTGTCAGCATCGAGCAGACCACACGGTGCTGCATCCAAGACGACGAACCGGGCAATGAAGCTTCAGTCCCTCGCCACGCATTCCGACTCCAGAGGGGGGTTGTTTCTAGGGCTCAGTCCAGCAACCCCCTTCCCCCTCCCCTCCAGTTGTATCATAACGCCACGCAGGTCGTTGCTCCAGACAGATGGCGACGGTGATCTCTTTCATGGCCGCAACTGTACATAGATCACGGCTCGACTTGCGAAGAACGCGCATTCCAAAGTCGGCCATCGGCACACACAGGACACGTGCTACATGCCCCGCCCACCTCGGAAACGCCTAACACCAGGTAAAGGGCACTCATCTTATCTTCCCCACCGAACACCGAGCGAGCCCCTCTCCCTCCCTGACGTGTTGACACGGATTCCACCCGGAGCCGGTCTCTGCGTTTTGCTCGGTTCAGGAAAACCGGAATTCGATTCCGCACGACAACCACTGCACCTGCTTTGCATGCACGAGACCCCAATCCGAATCTCGGCTTTCATACCAGGACTCTGCCTTAACCCTCTGAGCTCAAATAGACCTCCGCGTTCTGTCCACAGTGAATTTGCGCTTCGTATTAATGCGGACGATTTTAAAGTGAGGAACGCAGTGTAATCCGATTCCTCGGTACTGCGCCCTCAAATGGGCCCACTGCACCAGCCCCTGACGACAGACGAGTGACTGACCTTCTCATACCAGAAGAAAAACCAGTCTCCGTTCCATCTGTAAGTCAGATTCCGCATGGACGGTTCTGGCATTGAAACCAGGCGCCTGCTAAGCGAACCGATCCAACCGCAGACTGACGTCGTTAACACGCGTGAACACAGGGCAGAGGTTCACCACTGCGGCTTGTCCGAGAGGACTCTGTTATGCCTTAAAAAATGGAGCTCAATAAAGACATAAAAACACTGTTCACCCTCTGAATTACGAGCAAGTCACGTGTGGAGAAGCCGAACACTAGTTAAAAAGTATCCTCGAAATTAGATCCGCAAGGAACACTGAAGCCAGTCGTCGTCACTCGATAGCCAGTGCCTGTGCACGTCGCACATACGAGAGCGAACCTGAGGTAACCCTGGAGCCTTCTAAGGTTTCGTCTACACTGCGACGTTCAGACCGGAAATTACCTGAGCGAAGGGACGGAAAAGATCTGCTGGTGAGTTAAATTCTGCCCTACTCAAAACTCGAAACAGGAACAAGGCACTTATTTAACGACGCATTTTCAATTAAACTGGTAAAAAAACAAAAAGACAGAGGGAGAATACGGATGGAAGTGGTCACGGCCTACTTTGAAGCACGCGTGGGGGAACTGACAAAAGCCTCTGATGCTGGATGGACGCCGGCCGTACTGTACCTGTTGCCACTGAAGTTCATCACACGCGCGATCGGCCACAAAGTACGCACAAGACTGCGCGACGTTCAGCGTGCGCTGCGCGGTCGGGACGATGCCGATGAGGGCCGACGGTGACCGATCCGGGCCGACAACTTTAGCGACGCGATGACCATGGCCGCATACCACTTAACCATCGAGGGCGTGGAGGCGAAGCTCCGCGCATTTCAGGCGTAAGAGTGGTCACGTTCGCGTCTTTACCGCACGCAATGGGTGGACAGCCGACTGCCCCTTTCTGGCGAAAACTGCAGACACGCAAGGGAAGGTGGGGGCACAGCTCCCGGTATTCTCTACACAAGATGCAGGTTTCGTCTGCTTCACTCTCCGGCCGATTTACCCCTGGGGGAAAAGCCCACCGGTGGGTAAGACTTTCGTCTGGAAAACAAAATATTTCCGTTTTTTTGCAACATTCATCCAAATACGCCAATTGCTTTGCGAACATGTGAATTACTGTGGCCTGTCATATGGACTTCGCGCATGGTCTCCGATTTAAAACATAAAAGTTTAGAAGAAGACACAAGGCCCAGTTCTACACGAGAGGCCGATAATAGATCTGACATCTAGTGCCTTCCTACTGTTGGTTTCACCGTGTCATGTGACCAATTGACATGTTTCCTGTCTTTGTGTTGGAAGAAGGTTGTCTCGCCCTTAAGAATATAAACGACCCAGTGATTCAGAACAAACCCAACTCTCCACGGCTGCCACCATCACCAAATTATTCTCCCTGCATCCCACAACGAACCAAACTTCCCGAACTTAGATTTGACTTCCTACTCAGAGGTCAAAAGAGACAATCCTGAAATCTTCTCCATTCCTTCATCAATCGGTCACCACTTAACAGAATCCCGCGACCAGGCGCTTTCTAGTTCAACATCACGTCAGCGTCGCTGTCTCCTGAGGATACTGAGAAAAACCACGCAAAACGTCAGTGAGGATAAGTCATGAGCCGGCCGATATTCCAACTGAACACACGATGCACCGAAGCCTTAGAGTTACCATAGCAACAGCCATGGAAATAAACTGCTTGGGAAAACTTGAAGTAGATGGGAGTTCGTAAAGACGGATATGGGTGGAAGGAGATAAGGGTTTCCAGGAGCCGCGCCGGATACCGACGGGAGGAAAAAGTAGCCATTTTATCTGAACAGACTCGCCGCGTAGGATTTATACTTGCAGGAAACATGCGTCAACTCCGAAAGACATTCGAACTTGGCGGAAAGTAAAATTACACGGCTCGATGCACAAAAACAGTGAGACAGACAAACGGGAGAGAAAATCTGTGTGTGCTCCGACGCGGGACTCATAATGCCAAGTGCCTCGACGTTCATCTTACACGCCACTAACACTAACCTGGCTCATAGAGACTCTTGACATCCCAAGCAGCTAACTAGTGTCAGCAACGCAGAGCCCGAACGCGTCTCTCCCGTGGCCACGACCTTATCTTCAATTCGGAGCATCTTTACTCGACGCAGAAACTTATTTCCGATGGTTGGCTACAAATTCCAAATAAGAATTCGTCTTTTGCAGCCAACAGACGCTCAGGATCTGACAGCCGAGTCCAATCCCCGGTCATTGCAGTCGGAGTTGAGACAGAATGAACTTTCACGGGCAGGAGTGGGACAGAACAAATTGGATTCATTAAGCGAGATGTGAAAAGTTCAAGCGTCTGAGATGCCCATCAATTCTGTAGTTAGGCAGAAACAGCTGCTGGGAAGTTAAATGGACCAACCGAGAGCCGGAGGAGAGAGAGAGAGAGAGAGAGAGGGCGAAGTCCAACTGAAGGAACGTAGGAGAATACACGATGGCCGGCGCCAGACAGACTCCGTGGGGCACGAGAAACGAGGAGTTAAAGCGAGGACACACGATAAGATCTGCAGCTGGAAGACGAAGAGTGAGTGGAGGGCGACACGCGACCCACTGCTGGCAACTTTCAAACACAAATATCGGTCAAAATGTATGAAACTCGTGTGGTCAGGAAAATCTCCACAACGCACAGAGCCCCGACTACAAAGCCAGCTGAACCCAATCCAAAAACATACAAAGATCAGTTTTAGTATTATCCAGTCATTTACATCTTGGTGACTCGTGTCTTCCCGTAACCCAAGTGTTTCGCATTTCCCACGTTCGTGCTGCACGTCTCGCCAATCTCATCCTCCTTGACTTCACTACTTAAAACTGGGTGAAGACGAAGTCTGCGCTCCTCCCTTAATGCGAGAGACCAAGATTCACACCCATACAAAACAACAGGCTCAGTTGTAATATTTCTGTTCATTTTAATCTTTACGACTTTAAGCGGCAGACGAAGTTTGGTTTGTCCGAAACACGTAAAGGATTTATTATTACCCCCGTTTCTGTTATCACAATCGTACCCACGGCTTAAAATGTCGTGGGATGCTGGGAGGAGCCACGCAGTCCGACGTTCTGCATCTGCGACGACTGTCAACATGGGGGGCGACAGTTTGACCCGGGGTCAGCTGTCGTTCACTGCCCTACTCTGGGCGCGTCCTCAATACCTTGCGTGGCCGTGTCCAAACGTGTTCCATGCTACTTTGCATACTTCGCTGCCGTCCGCATTTACGTGCACTCCTGATACAAAGCCATGGCACAGCGCAGTCAGAAGTCAATTGACCCTTTGAAACCGAAGTTCGGCTAAGCTGCATGATACTTAAGAATCCAGCCCGTACCGCGAAGAAAACACTACACTTCACCGTTACAAAGATCAACTGGTTAACGCTGTTGACTCTGAGAATCACACGAAACACACACATGCCAAATGAAGAGCTACTGATCGTTAAAGCAGGTGGTACGTATAGTTACCACTGGGATTCCAAGGCCAGTTTAACTTAATGGAGTCCTCTCGGTCTATCCACCCGCACATCCTCAGAGGCTCAGACCGTACAAGGGGCGGTCAGTCAACTGAACTCCTTGACAAATGGACCGTGCTTGAAAAACAAAGGAGCGTCACAACTCGTAAGGAATAAGAGCAGTGGCGTATCAACAGCTCCAGTCGTCATACTGGCTTGTTCTGACACCGTGTGTGCCGATCTTCCAAGTGACCTGTTTCACACAATGCTTCCTGCTACACGCCCAGTTCATCGCAAAACCTTCACTTTAAGACCACCTGAACATACGTACACATTGTGTACTTTCATATCAATCTATTTAAAATTTATCTCAGCCCAAGGAGAAGTCATACGAAAAGCTAATAGTTGCTAAGCTGATCAATAAATTCGCTACCTTCTACACAACATTATGGTTCACAAGAGCCGCACAACAGTCCCTATTCTGAGTCAGTTGAATCCAAGCCAAATCCTCCTACCTTATTTAACGACCATTTTAATATCAGTCTATCTGTACAAACGTAGTACCCTCCCTTGGAAAATAACGAGCACGCTGTTGCGTGCTACATGCAGAACACACTCTCACACTGCATGCACATATATAATTTTGCGGATAACCAGGTTCCATACTCGTTGGAGGGGAAAAAAGAGAGAACAGGGCCGAGTCTCTGACAGTGGTCGGTGGTAACAACTCGGCCCCAAGGGGAGGCGGACGCGCTGCACCGCTCAGCTCACCCGCTCGGTTTCTCGTGCCTCATTCTGTGTGTTTAACGTCTGTTGGACAAATATTTGTTGGGAGAATTTGTTTGCTCAGTTCTCCACGAACGCTAGCTCACGGGTTACCAGAGGGCCACACACAGCGAAAATCGTGGCCGATGCCAGCCTGTCACAATCGCGGCTGGGACTTTCCAAATCTTCTTAGGTTACTTAAACACGCGGGCTGGCGACACAGACCACAAACGTAATTTTGGCAGAAAACTGCTAGAAAGAGGCCACTTGGGAGACCCAGACGTAGATGGCAAGGCAATACCAAAGCTTAAGACTGTGTTGAGTACAGATGTTGCTAGTCTTCGCTAAGGTATCAAACTCGGTGACCTCGAAAAGGGAGTGAGAAGACCAACTTGTCTCCTGCAGGCATTGATTGCCTCATGACACCCCTGAATGTCGAGGAAAAGTCGAACTTAACCGCAGGAGCTGTAAAGGAGTCGATCGTGCGCGCCTGTCGATCTGAATAATCACGCAGGAAGACGCACGTTTTCGCAACGAACAT